TTTTTGTTGACCTTTGTCCATGGAAGGTCCCTGCAAAATTTCATTGAAATTGGTTCAGGGGTTTTGGAGAAGAAGTCGAAAATGTAAATTGTTTACGGACGGACGACGAACGACGGACGACGGACGACGGACGACGACGGACGAAAGGCGATCGCAATAGGTCACTTGAGACTTTGTTTCAGGTGACCTAAAAACTCTACTGGGGTTGGGGGTTAGGGACAATCTATTACACAACGCCATAGTGTCTATCAAATCTCTACTGGGGCTAGGAGTGGGAGACCTGTAACAGAACACCATAGTGTTCATCAAAATCTCTACTGGGGCTAGGAGTGGGGGACCTGTAACAGAACACCATAGTGTCTATCAAAATCTCTACTGGGGCTAGGAGTGGGGGACCTGTAACAGAACACCATAGTGTCTATCAATATCTCTACTGGGGCTAGGAGTGGGGGACCTGTAACAGAACACCATAGTGTCCATCAAAATCTCTACTGGGGCTAGGAGTGGAGGACCTGTAACAGAACACCATATAGTGTCCATCAAAATCTCTGCCAGGGCTAGGAGTGGATGACCTGTAACAGAACACCATAGTGTCTTTCAATTCTCTGCCGGAAGGAAAATCTTCAACACAACCACTATAGGTTTCCTTACTCCCGACTCCTTGGATAAACCTGCTAGGACATGGTAAACATTTCTGGTTACCCACTGATGGGTAACCTGCTAGTACATGGTAAACATTTCTGGTGACCCGCTGATGGGTAAACTGCTAGGACATGGTAAACATTTCTGGTTACCCACTGATGGGTAACATCCATGATAATTTTTATTGGTCAAACTTCTAATTATGATGTCAAGTCACAATACTTTGCAACGTCATCATCCATGGTGACATCATAGTACATGGCAATTGTTTCCGAAATCAGACACAGGAATAATGTATTTCACAGAGAGACACAGGAATAATGTATTCCAAAGAGAAACCTATTCCGTCTTTGCGTATTGCAGAGTTATCTTCTCTTGGGAGCAGGTATTGATTGATACGTCACTTGTTTGTGAGAGTAATGTCATCAATTTTTGAGAAAACGACGCAATTTTCTCACACAAACCAATGACGTAACAATCAATACCTGCTCCCAAGAGAAGATAACTCTGCAATACGCAAAGACGGAATTGTCTAGATATAATATCTAAACGTTGTGGGAGAAAGAGGTCCGTGAACTGGTGATGGTTGATTATCTTGTTTATCTTACTCTTGTTAGTTATTTTTCAAATTGTAAAAGACACTTCATACAGTTAGAAAATTAACCACATGCAACTTGAGTTGGATAAACATGATAATCAACAATTAATCGTTGGGAAACCTGTGTCCCTATGGCGTCATAGTATTAACTATGACAACACGGTACATATGTCATTCCCAAGGAGAAATGACAGAAGAGTCATGCACAGGTAACACAAAAGATAATTCTGTGAATGGAGGTAGAAATCATAATCTCTAATGGAGATACAATTTGTAACACAACACTCTGTTAGATGTCATAATAAATTTTACTGAAAACTCACCATAAATTCCAGTAGAAATACAAGGAAAGGCCTGAAATGAAAAATGTACACATTTAAATCTTAATAATATGAAAGTCTTTAGATTATAGACATATCACTTTGAAATTTATATTAAACAAAAGAAATGCTACTTGAATCAAAGAGGCCAACTATGTCTATGATTGTCTAGGTCTTACCTGTACAATAAATTTAATTGACCAGAACTTCAATTGGTGCATTCATAAATTTGTGCAAGATTTAAAGTGCAAAAAGTGCTAAAATATGACTAGCACTAAAATATGTAGTTTTACTGTATATTGCCAATACATATGCTTAAATATTTAACAGGACATGTTTTCTGTGATTTACTGTTCAGTGTTCACCATATTTGCCTTCGATGAAGAGCTTGAATTTTTTACAATGATGAATAATAAAGTATCTATACACAGCTTACTTCATAAAGTATATGTATTTATTACATTTTTGCCAGTGAAACATCAGGTTCTATCAACTTGATAAAACTGATATCTTTCACACTGTGACAAATATCAAAAGGGATATTTTCACACTGTGAAAATATTACTTTTTGGTATTGACCAATCATAACGGTATCTAAATTCTTCTATTCGCTGCATTCAAAGGCAACGATTTTTTGTTCAGATTCAAATGAAGCGACGGTAGAATAAGTGGTTGTTATGGTAAATGTTTGGTACATTCAAAATGGCGCACAGCCTTGTTGTTAAGTGTGACGTCATTAGAATATGGCGCTAATTATAGCGCTTCTGATTCCCACCCTTTTTTAATGCATTACATTTTTCATGTTTTATGCTTTAAAAATGTAATAAAGAGAAAATTCAATGGTGTCTTGAGAAATAACAAATACATTTCACGAGTGTGGCTATTATTTTGATATTTTTCACGAGTGCGCAGCACGAGTGAAATATCCTCTATTTCTGCAGTGAATAATAATAGTATTTCCACTAAAAGGAACAAAATTAACATTAAGTGATTATGGATTTTAATGTCAAAGGATGAAGTCACATTTTTTTTACATGATGTAGTTTTCCTGATATATATATATAGCTATCACATCTGTAAACGTTTCTGTGATGAACTTACAATTGATCTTAATTTGTTTTCAACCATAACCTCAAGACTTGTCATGTAACAACTTTTGAGTGCCACTTGGTTTTCTCCAATCGGCCCGACTGTGTGGATGACATCTGAGGAAACATTAAACAACAAGAGTTATATTAGCTAGTTAACAAGTATAACCAAACCCCACACAATATACCTTATCAAATCTTAAATCATCTAAAATGCTGTAGTACATAGATTTGTTTGTCAACCAAACGATAGGATGAATGAGTTTGCTGTTTATTTTGCAGGTTGTTAATTTTCAAAGAAAATTGTTATTGCGAAAAATTTGAATGCCTAGTTTATAATCCTGCAAATCTAAACTTTTCAGTATTCCATCTTTACTCCCTTAAACTTCCCTCCTTGTGAAACATACAACTTTAGGTATGTGTATTGTCTGTCACCTTGAGCCTCTCTGTTTATTTTGTCATATTTATAATTATACTATAATGAACATTTATCAAAGTTTAGCATACAAATGTTAACAATTGAATCAACTATTTGTCCTTTATATTGTAGTGTCAGTGACCACATAACATCTCACAATTTACTTACATTTCGAGGGAAGCTTGAAACCTACAAAGCAACAACAAAAATTGGCTTATTTCAGAGCTATAAACTACAACAAACTTAATTTAGAGTTTTGTCTATACAATCCAAAGCTGTGAACGACAGACATGTTATGAATATTAAATACACCAAGATATGAAAGTATAAGTCATGACAAAATTGCCTCACTTCCAACAAGTACTTGATGAAAGTCTTGATATACTTGTTGTACATACTGTATTACACATGTAATATCAAAATCAGGTTGTATTTGATGTACACAGATGATACTAACCCCAGTTGTATGTACACCTGTGACACCTACATCTAGATTTAGTACACAGATACTTACCCACGTTGTATGTATACCTGTGACACCTACATCTAGATTTAGTACACAGATACTTACGCCAGTTGTAGGTATACCTGTGACACCTACATCTAGATTTAGTACACAGATACTTACCCCAGTTGTATGTATACCTGTGACACCTACATCTAGATTTAGTACACAGATACT